GCTGAAGCTGACTCCCCTGGCAAGTAGGGTAAATGTAAGGGAGGTGGTCGACCATATAGTGCTTCATAAGGAGTGATATGTATGGCTGAGTGAAATGAGGTGTTATACCAGTACTCAGCCATAGGCAAGCAGGAGTACCAGTTAGCAGCATCTTCATTATTGTAGCACCTTACGTAGGTCTCAAGACTTCTATTCAACACCTCAGTATGTCCATCAGATTGGGGATGGTATGCAGAAGAGGAATTGAACTCCTTGCAGTGAGAACAACTCTTTCCAGAAGGTACTGAGAAAGACAGCATCTCGATCACTTGTAATGGTATCAGGTAGACCATGTAATCGCACCACAGTGTCTAAGAACACCTTGGCAACTGATTGAGCAGTATAAGGGTGCTTCAATGGAATAAAGTGACCATACTTGCTAAGCATGTCTACTACCACAAGTATCACCTCATAACCATTAGATTTAGGGAGGCCATCGATGAAATCCATACTGATTTGGGACCGCACTGCATCTAGAATAGGTAATGGTTGTAACAAGCCAGGATAAGCAGCTAGGTCAGATTTATGCTTTTGGCACATATTACATTTCTGAACAAAATCTCTCACCTCTTTCCTCATGTTCTTCAAATAGAACAGTGTTAGTAGTCTCCTTAGAGTAGCTTCAACACCTTAGAGGCCACCTTGAGGGGTTGCATGCCACAAAGTGATGATTGTCTTCCTCAATTCTGGTGGTGTATATATAACATCTAGGAGAGCACTTGATCATGCCATGAGCCATCAGGCACTGAATACATGCTGGCCAATGAGCATGGTGTAACTTCAATATTGCACGCTGTCTCTTCAATTGCATTAGGCTGATATAGAATCAGTTTTTGCTAGTTGAAACGTTTTCCTGCACAACCTATCGAAATAATTACGCAATTTATTCTTGGATAGTTTGTTGGATGTTTATGCTTCAAGATGTCATTATTCACTTTTCAGAAGAAGAATAAAAGACAGAAGAAAATTGTGGTCTAATACAAAATGCAACACAAAAGAACACTTAGAAAAATTTGGTAGAACGCCAATAAACATAACTCGAATAGATATCCGAATGTTGCAATTTCCATTTTCTCCTCATATCGAATTAGAATGAAATATATGTATATATAATATTTCTTAAAACAATTCCATTTACTGTAACGACTCGGCCAGTCGTTTCGAGAGTTATAACCCTGTTTTCCCCATTCCTACTTCTTTTTGTGTTATTCAGCTATATTATGTTATATCGGGTTAGTTGGTTCGAGTCCGGAAGGGACTCGGGGTGAAATGAGACACTTAGTCTCATAATTGAAAATTTTAAGTTAGAAAAGTGGACCGGATATGGACCTATATGTAAACGACCTCGGATTTGAATTTTGAT